AGGTCTCCGGTTTATCAGAGGGCGGAACCCACACTTTTAGCTGCAAATTCTCACGTTTGAAGGGGAGGGAGGAGGATGAGAAGAGAGAGGGGTGGGCTTATTCACTCACTGTCCTGAGGATGACTTCTGCTCCCATATTGTGGGTCTGAATTTCTCGGTTCTCCGTCTATAAGGAGGGAAGACACACTTGAATGTTGGCTGATGCCTAGGTCTTCCCTTCTTGTCAATCTCATTATTTTTCAGCTCACTGTGATTACTTCTTTCTTTTTCTTTTCTTTTTTTTTGAGATGGAGTCTTGCTCTGTCACCGAGGCTGCAGTACAGTGGCAGGATCACAGCTCACTGCAACCTCCACCTTCTGGATTCAAGCGATTCTCCTGCCTCGGCCTCCCACGTAGCTGAGATTACAGGGGCACATCACTACACCCAGCTAATTTTTTGTATTTTTGGTAGAGACGGGGTCTCACTCTGTTGGCCAGGCTGGTCTGGAACTCCTAACTTCATGATTTGCCCACCTCGGCCTCCCAAAGTGCTGGGATTACAGGCATGAGCCACCACACTCAGCCTCTTCTTTCTTTTTATTCTTTTTCTTTTTTTTGAGATGGACTCTTGCTGTGTTGCCAGGCTGGAGTGCAGTGGCACGATCTTGGCTCACTGCAACCTCTGTCTCCCAGGTAAATCAATTCTCCTGACTCAGCCTCCTGAGTAGCTAGGCCTACAGGTGCCTGCTGCCACGCCTGGCTAATTTTTGTAATTTTGATAGAGACAGTGTTTCACTCCATTGGCCAGGCTGGTCTCAAACTCCTGATCTCAAGTGATTCACCTGCCTTGGCCTCCCAAAGTGCTGAGATTACAGGCATGAGCCACCGCACCCAGCCTATTTTAAAAAAAATTCTGGCTGGGGCCAGGTGTGGTGGCTCATGCCTATATTCCCAGCACTTTGGGAGGCCAAGGCAGGTGGATCACGAGGTCAAGAGATCGACATCATCCTGGTCAACATGGTGAAACCCCGTCTCTACTAAAAATGCAAAAATTAGCTGGGTGTATTGGCACATGCCTGTAGTCCTAGTTACTCGGGAGGCTGTGGCAAGGGAACTGCTTGAACCCAGGAGATGGAGGTTGTGGTGAGCCGAAATCACGCCATTGCACTCCAGCCTGGGCAACAAGAGTGAAACTCCATCTCAAAAAAAAAAAAATTTCTGGCCAGGTGTGGTGGATCCCGCCTATAATCCCAACACTTTGGGAGGCTAAGGTGGGCAGAACAGGAGGTAAGGAGTTTGAGACCAGCCTGGCCAGTATGGTGAAACCCCGCCTCTACCAAAAATACAAAAATTAGCCGGGCGTGGTGGTGCTTTCCTGTAGGCCCAGCTACTTGGGAGGCTGAGGCAGAAGAATCGCTTGAACCCCAGAGGCGGAGGTTGCAGTGAGCCTAGATCAAGCCACTGCACTCCAGCCTGGGCAACACAGCGAGAGTCCATCTCAAAAAAAAATCTTTTTCTTATAACTACCATGTGCCCTAGGGAGGGATCTTAGAGGTACTGCTTTGGAACAGGCCATCTCTGGGTAAGGTCCAGAGCTCACAGGCCAGCCAGAATTCACAGTGGGATGACTGCTGCTGCTGGCTCATGCTGCCAGGCTGTGACTAAGCCGGGGTCATGAGTCACCTACACCAGGAAAGGTGCCCTTGTCCCTCCCAGCCCCCACCCCTGCTTCCCCAAAGCAGGCTGGAGGGTGTGTAAGGTGAGTGCAGAAGGGCTGCGTTATTCATTAGACCATAATCCACAGATGACTGATTTTTTTTTTTAATGTAGATTCCTGCCATCCCCTCCTCCCAATTCCTATCTCAGAAATTTGAGGCTGTAGCACAGTGACCATAGCTGCGTCTCCTCCCAGGACTGGAATCCTAGCTCCTCTCTCTGCCACCATGTATCTCTGGAAAAGTTACTTAAACTCTCTGAGCTTCAGTTTTCTCTTCTGTAAGATGAAGAGACTTGTCAAATAAGGTCGCTGAGAGGATTAAATGAGATGATCCATACACAGGCTGTCAGCACCACACCTGACAGATAGTCATCGCTGAGTAAATGGCAGCAGTCCCGAAACATGTATGGAGCACCTTGTATACTAGCTGCTTGGCCGGCATGGAACACAGATGGAACTGCCAATGAAAAATTACAGCAGAACAGGTAAGAGCTGTCACAGGAAGAATTTGGACATACAGCCACTGATGCGGAGCCAGAGTGTGTGATAGGCTGGAGAAGAGAGGGATGACATTTGAATTTGAGATTCCAGAGTGGGAAGAAGAGCATCCCAGGAAAAAGAAACACCGCACTCACAGAGGAGCAGTTAAACGAGACTGTGGACCAGCAGGCAGCACATCGGTAATCCCAGCTATTGAGGAGGCTGAGGAAGGAGGATCCCTGGAGCCCAGGAATCAGAGTCCAATCTGGGCACCATAATAAGACCTCCTCTCTCTCTCTCTCTCTCTCTCTCTCTCTCTCTCTCTCTCTCTCTCTCTCTGTCTCTGTCTCTCTCTCTCTCTCTCTCTCCTCTCTCTCTCTCTCTCTCTCTTTCTGAGGAGTTTCGCTCTTGTTACACAGGCTGGAGTGCAATGGCATGATCTCGGCTCACCGCAACCTCTGCCTCCTGGGTTCAAGCAATTCTCCTGTCTCAGCCTCCTGAGTAGCTGGGACTACAGGCATGTGCCACCATGCCCAGCTAATTTTTTGTATTTTTAGTAGAGACGGGGTTTCACCATGTTGACTAGGATGGTCTCGATCTCTTGACCTTGTGATCCACCCGCCTTGACCTCCCAAAGTGCTGGGATTATAGGCGTGAACCACCGCGCCCGGCCTTTCTCTCTTTTTTGAGACAAGAGTCTCACTCTGTTGTCCAGGCTGGAGTGCAGTGACTCACCACAACCTCCATCTCCCTGGTTCAACTGTTTCTCCTGCCTCAACCTCCTGAGTAGCTGGGATTACAGGTGTCTGCCATCACACTGGGATAATTTTTGTATTTTTAGTAGAGATGATGGGGTTTCCCCATGTTGGTCAGGATGGTCTCAAACCCCTGACCTTGTAATCCGCCCGCCTCAGCCTCCCAAAGAGCTGGGATTACAGGTGTGAGCCACCGCGCCCGGTCTTTTTGTTTTGTTTTTTTGAGCCAGTATCTCCCTCTGTCACGCAGGCTGGAGAGCAATGGTGCGATCTCGGCTCACTGTAATGTCTGCCTCCTGGCTTCAAGTGTTCCGGCAGACTCAACCTTCCAAAGTGCTGGGATTGCAGGTGTGAACCACAGCGCTAGGCAGATCTGTATTTTAGAAAACGTAGGGGGAGCTGTTTGCAGTGCAATTGGGGCAGCCATACAAAAGAGGACCAGCAAAGCTGGCCGGGGCGGTGCCTCATGCCTGTCATCCCAGCACTTTGGAAGGCCAAGGAGGGCAGATCACAAGGTCAGGAGTTCAAGACCAGCCTGTGCAGGATGGTGAACCCCCATCCCTACTAAAAATCCAAAAATTAGTCGGGCGTGTTGACGGGTGCCTGTAATCCCAGCTACTGGGGAGGCTGAGGCAAGAGAATCGCTTGAACCCAGGAGGCAGAGGTTGCAGTGAGCCGAGATTGTGCCACTGCCCTCCAGCCTGGGTAACAGAATGAGACTCTGTCTAAAAAAAGAGCACCAGCGAGCAAGCTGCTCACAGGAACACAGTCCAGGGTGATCATGACAGCAGTGAGAGTAGGAGACACCCCTGGCCACAATAGTGTTTGGAATTATCTGGGCAGGTGATTCCAAGGCCTCAAAAGAGAGAACTCTGCTCCCTTTGCTTTGAATGTCCTTCTCCATTTGCCATTCAACAGTTAACACATGCCACCTCCTCTGGGAAGGTTTCCTGGATTACTCCATAGACTGGACTGGGGGCTCTGCTCTGTGTCCATATCTGTCTCCCATGATAGCGCTCGTCAGCATTTGTCATCCTTTTGTCATCCAGTTTCCTGGTTCCTCTCACTAGTCTGTGAGTTGGAGGAGGGCAGGGCCTGGCCTCCATCACCTTTGCACCCACAGTGCAGGCAGAGTGTCAGTAACGATATGCTGAATGAATAAATGGAAACGAGAACGTCAGCGGAGAAGCGAGAGGAATGCACACAAACAGACCGACGTGGCCGGGCGCAAATGGCTGTCGCCTGTAATCTCAGCACTCTGGGAGGCCGAGGCGGGTGGATCACCTGAGGTTAGGAGTTTGAGACCAGCTGGCTAACAACGTGAAAACCCCATCTCTGCTAAAAATTAAAAAATGAGCCGGGTGTGGTGGTGGGCACCTGTAGTCCTAGCTGCTAGGGAGGCTGAGGCAGGAGAATCGTTTGAACCCGGGAGGCAGAGGTAGCAGTGAGCAGAGACTGCGACACGGCACTCCAGTCTGGGTGACAAAGCGAGAATCCGTCTCCAAAAAAAAAAAAAAAAAAGAAGCTGGACGCAGTGGCTCTTGCCGGTAATCCCAGCACACTGGGATGCCCAGGCGGGCTGATCACGAGGTCAGACGTTCGAGACCAGCCTGGCCAACATGGTGAAACTCCATCTCTACTAAAAATACCAAAAAAATTAGCCGGGCGTGGTGGCGCGCGCCTGTAGTCCCAGCTACTCGGGAGGCGGAGGCGGGGGTTGCAGTGAGCCGAGATCGCGTCACTGCACTACAGCCTGGGCATCAGAGCGAGACTCCGTCTCAAAAAAAAGAAACAGACCGACACTTCAGGAAGCCTGGCCGAAAACTCGGGGGGGGGTTACATGCATCTTTTCTCCTCCAGTTCTGTCTGGGAGTCGCTATCTAGAAGACCCAGGCCTTCCGTGAACGATAGCCTGGTTGTGGGGGGTGGGGGAAGGGCCACCGCGGCCAGTGGCGCAGGCGCACATCTCTGCGGCAGGCGGTGAGACCCCGCCCCCACGCCCTAGACCCCGCCTCCCAGCCCCTGGCCCGGCCAGGCGGCACCGCCCATGAGGCCGCATGCGCAGTGCGCGCGCGAGGCCGCCTTGCCCTTCTCCCAATGGCGGGCGGCGGGCCCTTTCCCGGCAGCCTCCCCAGGGCAGGGAGCGCGTCATTTCCGGTGGGGAAGACCCGCGGCCTCCGCCGCCATTTCGGGCGCTGCTGTGAGGTTGAAACCGGAGCCGGTCTGCTGGGCGGCGGGCGCCGTGGGCAGGAGGGGCGCGCGCGGCGCGGCAGCCCAGCGTGTAGGCGCGGAGGCAGCCATGGCGGGCAACTTCGACTCGGAGGAGCGGAGTAGCTGGTACTGGGGGCGTCTGAGTCGGCAGGAGGCGGTGGCGCTGCTGCAGGGCCAGCGGCACGGGGTCTTCCTGGTGCGGGACTCGAGCACCAGCCCCGGGGACTATGTACTCAGCGTGTCCGAGAACTCGCGCGTCTCCCACTACATCATCAACAGCAGCGGCCCGCGCCCGCCGGTGCCGCCGTCGCCCGCGCAGCCGCCGTCCGGTGAGGGACGGACGGGACGGACGGGACGCGGGGGCTGGGCGTGGTGAGGCCCGCGGAACTGGCAGCCCAGCCGGCTGCTGCTCCAGCGGACCCTCGGGGGTCGCGGGCCGAGGGCTGGGGGACCGCGGCGCCCAGCCGGGGAGCGGGAGCGTCGGGAGGAGGAGCCGCGGGCCGAGGCCCCTGGGTGTGCCTGCGGAGAGCGGCCCGGGGAAGGGGAACTGCTTCGGCCCAGGGTGGGGCTGGCTCCCGGGCCCGGCGCTCGGGGAGGGAGCGCAGGGCAGCGTGCGGACAAAGAGCCGAGGGAGCTGTTGGCACTGCGGGGGCATCCCTTGGCAGCGGTGCCCAGAATGAATCCGGTAATCCTGCAAGTGGCTTTTAGGCTGGAATCGTTTCCTGCCGGGTTTGGCCGTGCTCCCCTGGTGGCCTGGGGTGGGAAGTCACCACGTACTGGCCGGGAGGGATGGAGACACCCTCAGGAAGCCGGTCCGTTTTTTCCTTTCTTGGGCATTTTTCCAAAATACTTCCACCGTCCTCTTCCCCGGTTGAGGACGAAGGGGGTGAACTAAGTGCCTGGGTGATCGGAGGACGCCTTCAGGAACCAGTCCGACCCGCTGTCGGGGCATGTTGGCGGTGTCGGAGCGATCTAAGCGTCCCCGTAGGCTGCCCTCCGCTGTTATAGGCTCTGGTTCTCAGTGTTTAGTGGAGGAAAGACATCTTATTCCAGAAAGTAAACCAGAAGTGAGGCAATGGAAACAGCCCCATCCCTGGAAGGATCTGGAACTTGATATTCCCTGGGCTTGAACAGGGTCCGTGTGTACTCCAGGGCGTGACCTTGCCCCGTGAGCCGAGACTGCGGGCTGGATCTTCCTGGATGTTGGGAACAGACTGCGCAGAGGACATGAATGGTCTGCACGGGGTTTCCTTGCCGGGGACCCCAGGGAGGTGACTGCCTTGCCGGTGACATTGAGTTGTTTGGGAGGGTTAAGGGAGTAGATTTGTGTCCTTAGTGCTGGAGACTGAGGTGCAGAGTCATTCTGAGGTCCCGTTAGATGTGTATGTCTGTGGAACAGCGTCAGGACTTCTCGTGCCTTCACGCTGTTGCCAAGTCCAAGCAGCTTCTCTGCCAGCTTAGACTAGCTCCGGGCTAGCCTCCTATGAATCTAGAAGCTCCTGAGTCAGCCTTTGTACGCTTGCCCTTGTAGGATAGTTCTGATTTAGAGTTACTTTCTGGCCAGAAATAGAGAACTGGATGGGCAGTTTCTTTGTGGTTAACACATACCAATATTTATTTTACTTTTTTCTGAGATGGAGTCTTGTTCCGATGCCCATGCCAGAGTGCAGTGGCGCAGTCTTGGCTCACTGCAGCCTCCACTTCCTGGGTTCAAGCGATTCTCCTGTCTCAGCCTCCCGAGTAGCCGGGATTACAGGCGCGCACCACCACGCCAGACTAATTTTTGTATTTTTTTGTTGTTTTGTTATTGTTGTTGTTTTTATTGAGACGGGGTCTTGCTATGTTGCCCAGGCTGCACTGCAGTGGCTGTTGTTCACAGGTGCGATCCCACTACTGATCAGCATGGGAGTTTTGACTTGCTCCATTCCGACCTGGGCCGATTCACCCCTCCTTAGGCAACGTGGTGGTCCCGCGCTCACGGGAGGTCACCATATTGATGCTGAACTTAGTGCGGACACCGGATTGGCATAGTGCACTACAGCCCAGAACTCCTGGGCTCAAGAGATCCTCCCACCTCAGCCGCCCTGGTAGCTGGGACTACAGGCACGCGCCACTGCGCCTGGCTAATTTTTTTTTTAGTAAAGGCGGTGTTTCAACATGTTGACCAGGCAGGCCTCAAACTTCTGACCTCAGGTGAACCGCCTGCCCCAAAATATTAGGATTACAGGCATGAGCCACCACTCCTGGCCCAGCACATAACAGTTTTTAAAAATGAATATGGGGTCTTTATATTCACAAATTATTCTGGGTCTTTCTCATTCTGGCCAGCTTAATAGTATTGTAATATGAGATGGGAATATTGATGCACATGTGTTTGCCTTTAACCAGATTCTATTCTACTTTGATGCCACCTGCATGGTATCTAGGGTTTTGCATTTCACATAGTAACATGATGGCAAACTGTGATTGAAATCACTTTTCAGCCTTTTGTTTCACACCTCAGTGTAATGATTTTCTGTCTCAGCACTTACTTTGATATTGAGCACCACCTTTTCAAAACAGATAAGAGCTCAGTTCCTTGGCCCAGGACAGAAGGCGAAGATTGCCAAAGTTTGTGGACGGGGTGTGGAAAATTCACAAGTATTGTGATAATTCTTTCTGCCATGTACCCTGTATTCCATGATTCAGTTGCTGTCTTTCTCTCGATTCTGAGACAGGGCCTTTGTCACCCATGCTGGAATGCAGTAACATGAGCACCGCTCATCCTTGACCTCCCAGCCTCAAGATGTCCTTCCACTTGAGCCTCCTGAGTAGCTGGGACTACAGGCGTGTGCCACCATGCCTGGCTAACTTTTTTAAATGTTTTTATAGAGATGAGGGGTCTCATTATGTTGTCCAGGCTGGTCTCAGATTTCCTGATCTCAGTCATCCTCAGGCTCCCAAAGTGCTGGGATTACAGCTCTGAGCCACTGTGCCTGGCCAGTGCTGTCATTTTTTTTTTTTGAAGGCGGAGTTTTTACTCTTGTCTCCCAGGCTGGAGTGCAATAGCTCAATCTCAGCTCACTCCAAATTCTGCCTCCCAGGTTCAAGTGATTCTCCTGCCTCAGCCTCCCGAGTAGCTGGAATTAGAGGTGCCTACCACCATGCCCAGCTAACTTTTGTATTATTAGTAGAGTTGGGGTTTTGCCATGTTGACCAGGCTGGTTTTGAACCCCTGACCTCAGATGATTGCCCGCCTCGGCCTCCCAAAGTGCTGGGATTACAGGCATGAGCCACCGTGCCTGGCCAGTCTGTATAGCCTCAGAATTACTTTGTACCTCACAAATCTCAAGTACTAAGCATGGAATCTTTGTTCTACCCCTCACCAAGTCCTTTTGAAGTCACTCAGAAATATCTTGAATTTTAGAGAGGCATATATAGTATTAATAACTAATGCCTATTGACTGATTATTCTGTGCCAGGTACTTTGCTTAGGATTTTATGTGCCTTATTTCACTGACTGTCTCTGACAGTCTAGTGAGATCAGTAATATGATCTCCATTTATTAAAATACTCCCATTTTACAGAGGAGGAAACACTCAAATTCAGTAACTTGCATAAGGTCATACAGCTAGTAAACGACTTTCAGAAGTTGAACCTGGGCATCTGGCCCGACAGCTGGCCATTTCACACTAGACTCTGTCAAAGTGGCGTTCCCTTGGGATCTCAGCAGTGCACATGAGGGTCTGCATCCTCAGTACTTTGTCTCTGCCCCGGAGTCTCAGACTTGGTGGGGTTTCTTTTTAGACGGACTTTCGTTCTTGTCCCCCAGGCTGGAGTGCAGTGGTACAGTCTTGGCTCCCTGAAACCTCCACTTCCCAAGTTCAAGTGATTCTCCTGCCTCAGCCTCCCAAGTAGTCAGGATTATAGGTGTGCGCCTATAACTGTGCCTGGCTATTTTTTTTTTTGTATTTTTAGTAGACACAGGGTTTCACAAAGTTGGTCAGGCTGGTCTTCAACTCTTGACCCCAGGCGATCTGCCCGCCTTGGCCTTGTTTGTTTGTTTAAGAGACAGGTCTCACTGTGTTGCCCAAGCTGGAGTGCAGTGGCTGTTGACAGGCACACTCACAGTGCACTGCAACCCTTAACTTTGGGGCCAGGCAGTCCTGACTCAGGCTCTGAGTAGCTGGGACTACAGGCATGTACAGCTGCACCCAACCCGGGTTTTGTTCAAAGACCAGAATTAAAGAATGGCAAAAAGAGGCCTAGTGCAGTGGCTCACGCCTGTCATCCCAGCACTTTGGGAGACCGAGGTGGGTGATCACTTGAAGTCGGGAGTTTGAGACCAGCCTGGCCAACATAGTGAAACCCTGTCTCGAAGAAATACAAAAATTAGCTGGACGTGGTGGCACACGCCTGTGATCCTAGCTACTCAAGAGGCTGAGGCAGGAGAATCGCTTGAACCCAGGAGGTGAAGGTTGCAGTGAGCCGAGATTGTACCACTGCACTACAGCCTGGGCAACAGAGCGAGACTCTATCTCAAAAAATAAAAATTTAAAAAAAAAAATGCCAAGAAAACTGGCTTTATCATTCAGACAGTATACATCTGCTATCTAAAGTTAATGATGAAGAAACTTTAATTTTTTATTTTTCTTTGCTTCAGTTTTCTCATCTGTGAAGGATGGAAATAGTAATACCTCATAGGGTTGTTATAATGATATTCCACTTTAAGTACTGACATATTAAGTATTCCGTAAGTATTATTTATATATATATATATATATATATATATATATATATATTTTCATCTTTTCGTTTTGTTTTGCTCTTGCAACAGAGTCTCGCTCTGTCACCAGACTGCAGTGCAGTGGCGCGATCTGGGCTTCATGCACCCTCCACCTCCCGGGTTCATGCAGCTCTCTGCCTCAGCCTTCCAAGTAGCTGGAATTACAGGTGCCCACTGCCATGCCTGGCTAATTTTTTTGTATTTTTAGTAGAGACGGGTTTTACCATCTTGGCCAGGCTGGTCTTAAACTCCTGACCTTGTGAATCACCTGCCTCGGCCTCCCAAAGTTCTGGGTTTACAGGCATGAGCCACCATGCCCAGCCATATATTAATCTTAATAACATAACTGAGGTGTGGGGACTTTGGAAGCAAAATGGAAAATTGTTCTTACCCTTGAGAGGCTCATGGGGATGCATAGTGTGGATGGTAGGAGCTGTTGAAACAGTTGTCTTAGGGAGTAAGTGCCTGGGTTGGGTACGTCCACAAGTGTGAAAGGACCTGGGGCTAAGTGCATGGGAATAAGATGCTGCCTCCTGCCGCGTGCTCATCCCAAAGCCTTCTATC